GTCTTTTATACTCTATGGATGGACCGGACGGACCAGCGGTCAAATAATTAGAGCAATAACGGACAAAACCTATTGGTCGAAGCACATGCGTGCTCAACCAATCAAGGGACCGCTGGCTAGATGTGGGCTGGCTGTACCAATGTCGTTCCTGGGAAAGGCATTGAACCCCGTCCCAGTCTGGCTGGTGTTGGTTATCCCAAGCATGTTTGGCTACGGCCGAGCCGACAGCCTGTTGATTGGTTGAGCACCCATGTGCTTCGACCAATAGGCTTTGTCCGTTATTGTTCTAATTATTTGACCGCAGGTCCATTGGTAGAGTATAAAAGACGCTTGCTTACAATATATTTTATCACCTGACTAAGTGTAGCAGCGGCACACAAAACGTTGTTTCAGATCCCTTGTTGACCATACAAGGCGAGACAAACGAATTTCACTAGCGATATTATTTTTGATACTATATCCGCAATGAGTAATATATTTAGCATTAATGGTAATTTAGTTGACCAAATCCTTGCGAGACTGCCTGGTTGGGTACTGTCTATGTAATTAATCTCATATCTTGTCAACCCATTTGTATTTATAACAAAAATGTATTGACATTGCTAGATTAATAATGAAGTTAATAACAAATTTTCGATTAATTTACTTTCAATTTATTACCTTTCTGTGTGTACCATAGGTCTAGGCAATGTGCAACACTAGGGTCTGAACCATAAGACACAGCTACCAACGTGGGCATGGCTAGTTGCAAGGAAAGCTGCTTGATGTTGATGGTTGCTGTTAAACATTCTGTTCTTCATAATTGCCGGGTTTCTTCATCAACACAACTGCCATTTGGATCCTCAAGGTAGGTCTAGGCCCTACAATTTAGATCTAGTGTAGAATAGGTCATCTAGATCTAACTTTCACTTTCACAAATGAATTAATTTGTCAGTGTTGGTCCTAAGTGTTTTATTTGTGGGTACTTTTGCTGTACTCAAGACTTCCAACAAGAGACATCTTTTCTGGGTTTGTGAGTCAGACTTTCAGATTGCACCGTTTTATTCTTCATCACCATATTAAAGTCTATAAACTCTGGTTTAGGACAAACATGTAAGCATTTTACAGTATTCAATGTATGAGATATCTTGCATCTGGCCATCTAGTCAGATGAGCGTGCAAGGTGGTTAGTCCTAGGGAGTGGAGACTGGGTGGATTATTTGGTGAGGAAATAGGAAATTCAATTCAATTCAATTTATTTCTACTTTAAAAACAATTTACAAATAAATAACATATACATGAATAATAGTGGCGGGATCATGCATGAAATATGCATCATATGAGTAGCATCAAATGAAAAAGGAGGATCTAAGCTTTGCAAATATGTGTCAATTATTAATTATAGTTGTGATTAAGTTATGATAAAACATTGATACTTCTCGGTTTCGTTTTTACTGGGACGCACTGTACAACTCCTTTGCATACTGACACACACGTACAGACACACTTTCACGCAATCATGCACATGCAAATTTATACCCACGCACTCACGAACACAAACAAGCACACACAAATAGACGTTGACACACATTATTCTTTCCAATTAACAATGATTCATTTATTAAACACATGTGATTTGAGGAGCATTTCAAGAAAGTGTCGTTATTTGAATACAATGCTAAGTGAGAACTAAATTAAATTTACAAAAATAGAATTTCATGCTCACTATTTGAAATGGTGTGTATATGTGTACAGTATGGTATTGAAATATACTGCAATTAACAGTAACACTAAAATGATGTCTTAGAAGACAAAGTTATTGTACATGATACATTTTTAATTATAGCATACATCTAAAACCATAGACGATTGAATGCAAAGAGATACATGAGGTACATGTAGTGAATAATGCTTCAGGTCAAGCAAATGTTATCTTATTTACGTACCATAGTCCATACATAGGCATACAGAAAATGACACGTTTCAATCAACGTTAAAGAATCAATCTCAACATTAATTGGCTTTGAATAATGCAGATGTATTACAGAATGACCGGCACTGACACCAGATCCCACCGAGAGAAAGCATAGAAAGCAGTAGTAGTTGTTGTTGGCAACCAGACAAGATAATTTAAATCACAGGGTTCGTCCCTTTTGAAGTCTCATGTATCTTGTCTGGTTGTCAACCGCAGTAACTACAGCTTTCCATGCTTTATCTCAATAGGATCTAGGCACAGGACACACACTGATAACTACAGCTTTCCATGCTTTATCTCGATAGGATCTAGGCACAGGACACACGCTGATAACTACAGCTTTCCATGCTTTATCTCGATAGGATCTAGGCATAGGACACACGCTGATAACTACAGCTTTCCATGCTTTATCTCGATAGGATCTAGGCACAGGACACACGCTGATAACTACAGCTTTCCATGCTTTATCTCGATAGGATCTAGGCACAGGACACACGCTGAAAAGGTTCTCCCAAAGAATATCTACTTTATCAGGGTCTAGTGCCTGTCCTCTTTTACCGGAAAGGCAACCCCGCATCCTCTCTTCCTCTGAGAAGATTGCACTGGCAAGCTTCCTTGCTACAACCTTAATGTCGTCGGCGTTTATCCGGCACTGCGTCAACAGATCCTCTGTTATCCCACGTCCTTGTTCATTCATGGCTATTGGGCGGAGAGGGGGCCAGGTGACTGGACGATGTGGGGTGCTGGTGCTTGAGTTTACGCTTGAGTTGATGCTGGTGCTTAGAGGTGTGGTAGGCGGCAGCCTCTCCAAAGAAGAGACCTCTGCCATCCTTCTTTCCATGGTGGCCATCCTCATCTCCAGATGCTCTACTCGTTCAGTTAGCTCCTTGTTGTCCGTCTCCAGCTCTGCATTCCGCTCCATAATTCTTATGTTTTGTTGAAGAACAAATCCCTCTCCCACAGCTGCCGGCAGCTGGAAGGTTGGAGCCTTATCTAGATTCCGGACCTGCTCTCGTAGGCTGTTTGCGGCAACCACCATCACATCATCCTCGAGGGAGACCCGCATCCCAGCCGGAATTTCCAGTATTTCTGGTGGGTTCACCTCGTCCAGAACGGTAGCAAGCTGCACAGATGAAACGATGAAAAACAAAAGGGGCATTGAATAATTTTGGTTTTCAATAAACACATCACGAAATTCATTGCTACGATATAATTATACTTTATGAATGATCATATGTATCCATATATTCACACAGACCCCCCCCCCCCTCTTTTTAAATTTAGTTTTTATTGTTTTGGGCAAATAATTGGAGGGAGCATGTGCCCCAGGCCAGCCCCCTCCTTTGCCACTATAGTGGTAGGAGATGGTTTTGCATGTACTCACATAATGGGGGGGGGGGGGGGATATTAAAGAACAAATAGACAATGTGATTTCAGAAAAGCAATGAGATAGAGAACACACAAAAAAAGAACAGTGGATAACATGATATGAAAATGTAAGAATTCAAGAAAAGAACTAAACTGTTTAAAGTAGATGAGAAAATAGAAAGTGCTATTACTGGGACATTGGATGCGTTGTCCTACACGACAGCGCAAACCTTGCCGTTGGCCTCCCAATCGACCGCGACACGGTTAAGTTGCACTTTTAGTGCCTGTGGCGTTGTGGTTCTCTGGGCCCTCCTTCTGCTTCCTCATCTATGCTAGCGACAGGAGTCTGGTCCAAGACAACGCTTGCCTTCTTCCAGTTCACAAGCCCTTCTTCCAGTTCACAAGTCCTTCTTCCAGTTCACAAGCCCATGTGCTGTGACAGTCGTGCATCCTTGCTGGGCATAGCTCGTCCAGCAATCCGTTGTCAGGGATATTGCTTCGCTCTTTTGAAGCTCTAAATTCACCCACTCCTTCTTCTCCGTCATCATGTTGTCGAGGATTGCCATCACCGTTTTACGTGTTGGTAGAGAGTAATCTGGCTCGACGTAAGACATAAGGGATTTAAATCCCTTCCCCTCTACAGCACTAATGGGGAGGCCATCCACGGCAATCATCTTCGCAATTACATGTACTTCCGAAATGCAAGCACTCCTTCTTGGGTCTTTTGGGTTGAAAATTAGTTTTGTCTGCTTTGCGGCATGAGCCTCTTCAAGAGTGTTTGCACGGAAAGTCTTAATGTGCCCAAGGAGACTGCTTGTCGATCCTCCCTTGTATGCCATGACGCGATCACATATAGTGCAGGTCACTGCATTATCAGTCGACTTCCAAAACACTTTCCAAACCTTCCTAGACATAGCGACGGTTCAGAAGCAATCAAAATGTTGGATAATTTAAACATATACAATCACAAAAACAAAAACAAATCAAATCAAATCTGAAATGCGAATATTAAACTCTACAAGAAAATGAATGAAGGCCTATTCAGACTTCAGAGAGGACAAGGAGAGCTAGACTAACCATAGCAATCGTGAAAAGTAAAGTGATGGTTAAGGGGCCTTTTGCATCTTGGAGTACCTGTCCTGTTCAAAATATAACTCTACACTACCACAAACCTGTACATTAAAAGATATGCTGGAATCCAGTTGCTTCTGGTTATTGAATTCCGAGATGACAACGCAATTCGCTTGTATCCGATCATTGACGTTGATATTTACATCACAGTGCTTCCCACAACCAGAATCAAATGTAAAATGATGCTGGTATTCTTACTCGAGAACAATCCCTTGCATAGTTTCCAGGCATCATTAACCCTGAAACCAGCACAAGTGTGGCTCGAAGGTGGTCATTAAATTCCTTTTCGGCATATCATACTGCGGCTTTACATCACAGCAGGGAATAATTTTCCTGGTATCGCATCGCAATTTGCTATGCATTTTTGCATGACTGCTATACAAAATATCTTTTGTGTAGCAGTTTTCTTCCATAGAAATGTACAGAATTTCATTTGAAATATTTATCCATCGGCTGAAATTGCTAATCAAAAAATTTGAGGAAAATTATTCCCTGCACAGGTTATTTCCCATGAAAATGTCCACGCCATTTCACAAATAATAAGCTTTTAAAAAAATGAGCCAAAAGTGATGTCGTCGAGAGTTGCATCAAGTAGCTTCCATCTTGGGGTTGACATAAAAACCGGAAACTCTTTCACACCCTGGGCGGCGTCAGCCAATTCATTGCTTGGCCTTTTGTCAGGATTCACTATCACATATGAAGCTGTCTCCAGGACTTCTTCAACACTTCTGTCAATCTCGAAAGATCCAATAGCTGCTCTGGCCTCTTGCCTGGTTGCTTGGCACAGGGTGTACAGATATTTCGAACCGCTCCCTTGCAATCCACAGTCGGCCCTGTCCAATTTTTCGTCTATCATGCTGTTATAAAACATGACCTTGTGCCGTCTCCATCTATTGTTGATGTTGATGGAGAGCTCCCTCTGCCTCTCCATAGTGTGCAGCATGCACTTGGCCGATGCAGAATTGTTCTCATCCCCAGTGCACCCTATTAACAGCCTCGTGATCGTCACAGAATTGAGGTCAGACGGTTCATATACGGTTGTTCTCTCTCCGTCCTTCATTACCTCGCAACGTATAATAGCGAATGCTGCTCTGAATGCCTTATCTGGGAGTAGTATATCACTTGCTTCCCTAAAAATTGAGATATTTCCCATGCCGTCGGCACCATCCTTCACTGTCATCAGGTTCTGTATGTCTTTCTCCGGGCTAATTCCACACTTATGTAGCCCGCTGGCGATGTCAGACTCTTGTTCTTCCAAAGTTTTGGCCAACGCATGCGAGTTATCCCAATGTACGCCCTGAAAGTTGGGAGGTGGTGCATCAAACCCAGGGTACATCTCACTTTGAATCACGTCTGGCTCGAAGGACAGTGGACCATACTCGATGTGTGCCTGACCAGCTTTAACTGGCGTGTGATGGATCAAGTCTGTAGTCCCTTGCAGGCGTAACCGTACGCTTCCTGGCATATAATTTGTTTCCACCTCATCCAAGACATGGGGCGGTTTGAGGATGTTGTTGCCATTGTGCCTCATCTGTCTATACTGCTCTTTGTAGCGAGTTTTTGACGTCATCGTTGTTATTCTCATTGCCAGACAATGATTATCGGTGACCTCCTGTACAAGTCCGTCATTCCAGGATGCCATGATCTAATAAAATGAGAGGAAGTGCAGATTTTTTTTTTTTACAGTCATACTAGAGTAACACGAAAAATAACCCTTCCCCTCTCAAAAGAACAATTAGGTCAGTGACCGTAGAAATACACAAGTGTTGGAAGAGTATTCCGGTGATACCCGGAAATTTCTGCTCTGACTGGAATGACTTGTATGCTCTCCCAGTAGACAACCTGAAATAGAAATACTAAGAAAATGATGGAACATTGACATTTTTTCATTAAAAAATATTTTCATTATTGCCATATAAATCATTTTTGTGAATATAGACAAAATCGGATTGTCTAACCTTTCAAAAGCCATGATTAATGTACCATGCCAGCTACGTACTTGGTCTGCAGTCACAGCAGCATGTGATGCAAGAACATCAATATTGTCTATACTTACATGTGTAAAAGAATCACTATTAGTTTCATCCTCTCGATCTGTAACAGCTCCAGCTTTCCATCGTCTGTAGCTTGTCTTTTTAGTCCACGTTGCTGCTGCAGCTGTCTTCCATTTGCATCTCTATCATCTTTGACATGCTGTAAAAATCTATCAAGGGTGGATTCTGAACAACACAAACCTAACCTATTCATTATTTTCAGTTACTTTGAAGAGTGCAACATTCTCTTCACAACAATTGCTATTATAATGCAAACTGCAAAATGAAAACTATGACTATCCTTCTGATTTTTCTTTGCATACCATGTGAGGTACCTTCATTTGGAAAACTAATATGGTCTTTAGCGATGCAAATTTCTTCTAGATTTAAAGTGAGCAAACTTACGATGTTCCAAATAATAGGATCAAACAATGCTACAGCATCTAACAGATTCAAATCAGCTACATCTTATGCCTCAACTGTTGAAATACTGGAACATTCTGATGCACAGGATAAAGTACAGAGATCTACCGGTATTCTTTTTTTTTTCTGGTTTGTTAATGTGTGTATGAACCATTTTTTACTTTGGTACTATATTTTTGTCTACAAGCATTACAAATACAATCTACATCACTTACATTCTCATATTTTGCACGTAACATGTTAATTATCGCTTGAGAATCCATATTAATGAGATGGCAATACCTTGTTAACTTTTTGTTGTTGCACAGTGCACATGGTCCACACTCTTCTTCCTGGCATGGTCGCCAAGTAGGCCAAGTTGAAAAAGTTAGCCACGCTGAAGCAGTAGCTTGCCAGCATCCCATCCTTCTTCCTCTTATTACTTCCCAAAATATTCGTCAGGGAAGGATGCACATAATAGTTGAAAGAAAACATTCCTTGAGGGTAGGGACTGTACCGGATTCTGGGGAATGGGGAGATGCAATTCATGGGAGCAGGTGGATGCCCCAATGCCCATTGTGGTCACATCCTGCTTAACAATAATACGGTTAGAGGCGGCTGCCATCCACACACTGGCTTGTTTGTCAGTCCAGTTACAAACTGGACTATGTGTTCTAATGTCAGAAGTTCTCCTTCCTCTTTGCTCCTCCAATATATTGATTCTCGGTCTCCCAACACAATCTACACCTCCAGCAGGAGTTGTCTCCGGTTGGTTCGGGGTTCGTTCTGTGACATGCTAATCTTGGGAGAACGAAAACAAAAGCTTGTAGAGCCTCATCTACACTAACTGTTTTTCCTGCCACTCCTCTGACTGCCTGCATCTCTCCGGCTCCTCTAATACGTTTCCTTCCTCTTTATAAAACAAAGTCCAAATCAGTGGAGCTCCAAGGAAGTAACTGGGCTACACTGATTTTGTTGCAGGTGGCTTGATTTTTTTAAAGGTGGCTTGATTTTTTTAAATTCATGTGGAATTCTTACATAAATATGATATTGAGGTGCGGAAACATACAAATTGTTCACAAAGTTCTCAAAGTTCTAAGCTAGAAAGCTCTTTCCGATGCCATTCAGGTGGAGGCCATCACACGCATACAATGTATCGCTGTGAATAAAAGTATTACTAGAGTCAAAAATCTTGAAATTGTAAAAATGTGGTAGTTCAGTTAGTTTCTATTATGATAAATGCTGTCTTTGTGTAAAGCTTTGAAATCCCACATATTACTGAAAGAATAAGCAGAACACAATCCTTCTCCCAAACTCCCCTTTCAAGATTGTTTGTTCCTATGTGAAGCAAAACCGTTGTTGAGTCTTCAAATAAATGACAATTAAAACGAACAAAGGAATTTTTTCAATTAATTTCAATTAAGTTTATTCATTTCCATAAAAATCACATTACAAAAAACACATACATATAAGAACATGCAAAATCTTTCACTGGAATATACATACAGTAAGTACATTAAGCAATAATGGAAAAGGGAGTTATAAAAACCCAAATTAATGAGTTTGCCGAGATATCTCCCCAAAATAATTAACAAATTGTGATGAACATAATAAAGATTTGAAATTACATAAACTTATTTTGCCCCAAAGAAAACTTGTATAACAAAAAACAACAACATACAATCCCTACAAAAACACACATATATATAAAGTGGAAAAGTATTCTACCCAAAATCATATGTAATTTGAAGCTGCTTTACACTTCTTTTAAATCCATTGTAATTCATTATAGATGTTATATTATTTGGCAAAGTATTCCATATTGTTGGTGCCTTATGTCTGAAAGAAAATAATAAATAAGATTTTTCAACAACCCATAGATGGTATTTATTTTTATTCCTTGTATTATAAGTAAAACAAACAAAAAAATTAATTGAAAATTGTGTATCATGAATTTATTGAACAATTTACGTCAATACAGCTAGGTCTTCTTCTTCATTTATTTAATTTCAGACTTAGCTAGATCTATAGACTTGACCTAGACCTAGATCTAATATATTTTACTTACCTCTCTGATATTGTTCCGGAGACAAAACGGGTTTACGAATGTAGCTCGCTGGCACACGCAAGTCATCATCGGGATACCCGAAGAAAGCCACCAGCAGGCCATTCCCATCGTCTCCATCCAAAATTTTCCCATTAGCCCACCTGCCTAACTCATCTACTGCTTGAATTCTTTTACCTACGCCTACGATGAAATTTTCTGCCATTTTGATGCACTTTAGCAATTCATAGCTGTAAGAACTTAGCTACAAGTTATGAAGACAGTAAGACATAATAAAACACAATACAACACTAACATATACAACTTCAAATAATCAAAACAAAATAACAAAGAATTAACTGGTATATCTTTGATAAAACAATGAATAATTTACTATGATTAATTTAAAGTCCGAATGCAGCAATTTAAAAAAAGTAACAGCAGTGTATCCACACAGATTTTCTAGCCACCGGTTGATCGCACCTGAAGCATAAAAAAAACTAGCGCTGGAAACCAGAAACCGTAGGATGTTGTCATTCATGCCGGGATCAAGAAATCTTCCTGAGTCTTCTAGCTAGCGAAGACGTACCATAAATTGCAAACTAGCCCTAGATATCTTGGGATGATTTCCCGAACAAATAGCCAGCTATTTTGTGATCCGGCTAATTTCTTGGATCAGAAATAGTGGGCTATTTGGTCAACTCAGGCTGATGATGACAGGCCTATTATGTTGTTTTTGTTTTGTCATGAACAGTTATCAGCATGGAAGTGTACATGTTGCTCTCCAATCCAGTAGTTTTCCAAGAAATGTTTCCAAGAAATGATGTAAGTAACTTACACCTGCGTTCGCTGTTTACCACAGCTAACCCCCTCATCTTCCAAGTAATTGACCCGAACAGAGAGCCCCTCTCCACTCGATGCCAAAAATATGACACTGTCTTGGTGTACGAAAGTACACAGGGCCAGGTTGATGAAGGGGTCTCCTGGGAAATTGATAAGTTGCGCAAAATCCAAGCTATAGTGGAAAGCTACAGGCTTGGAGTAAGCAACGTTCTTACCTAGCCAGGTGTTGGAGTGCTCCTTCGCAACCGCTTTGGATGCCTTGCATTGTATGTATCGAAGGAGGAGGAGTTTTTGTAAGGCCTTAAAGGATGAGGAAGCTTTGTAAGGCCTCGGAGGGATGAGGAGGCTTTGTAAGGCCTCGGAAGGATGAGGAGGCTTTGTAAGGCCTTGGAAGGATGAGGAGGCTTTGTAAGGCCTCGATGGAGGAGGAGGTATTGTAAGGCCTCAGAAGGATGAGAAGGCTTTGTAAGGCCTTAAAGGATGAGGAAGCTTTGTAAGGCCTCGGAAGGATGAGGAGGCTTTGTAAGGCCTTAAAGGATGAGGAGACTTTGTAAGTCCTCGGAAGGATGAGGAGGCTTTGTAAGGCCTCGATGGAGGAGGAGGTTTTGTAAGGCCTCGGAAGGATGAGAAGGCTTTGTAAGGCCTCGAAGGAGGAGGAGGTTTTGTAAGGCCTCGGAAGGATGAGGAGGTTTTGTAATGTATCGAAGGAGGAGGAGGTTTTGTAAGGCCTCGAAGGAGGAGGAGGTTTTGTAAGGCCTCGAAGGAGGAGGAGGTTTTGTAAGGCCTCAGAAGGAGGAGGAGGCTTTGTAAGGCCTCGAAGGAGGAGGATGTTTTGTAATGTATCGAAGGAGGAGGAGGTTTTGTAAGGCCTCGGAAGGATGAGAAGGCTTTGTAAGGCCTTGGAAGGATGAGAAGGCTTTGTAAGGCCAAGAAGGAGGAGGAGGTTTTGTAAGGCCTTGAAGGAGGAGGATGTTTGTAATGTATCGATGGAGGAGGATGTTTTGTAATGTATCGATGGAGGAGGAGGTTTTGTAATGCATCGGAGGAGGAGGAGGTCTTGTAATGTATCGGAGGATGAGGAGGCTTTGTAATGCATCGGAGGAGGAGGAGGTCTTGTAATGTATCGGAGGATGAGGAGGCTTTGTAATGCATCGGAGGAGGAGGAGGTCTTGTAATGTATCGGAGGATGAGAAGGCTTTGTAATGCATCGAAGGAGGAGGAGGTCTTGTAATGTATCGATGGAGGAGG